GAATGAATAGAAGAAATACAAAATTGTCTTTACATAGTTAACATAAACCTAGCTCAAGTAGTAGTGAATCAATTTCAGTCATTTTGAAGCAAGGAAATACTTCACAGAAAATAACAGGACAAGAAAGAATAATATGATTTCTAAAATCTTTGGTTGGTTATGTGTCTGAGGTTACGTGGATCTGGCTGCAGAGTGTTAAGTACATTTCCCGTATGGCATTGTGAGTGTGATTTGGGGTGTTGGAATTTTAAAGCCCCTTTGTTCCATGCTTGACAGAGTCCTTTCTCTGAAATTAATAAAATACGAAAGCCACACCCAGTTGTCTTAAAGGATGCTTATGTTTATTTATTTATTTATTTTTTTTGAGACAGAGCCTTGCTCTGTTGCCCTGGCTAGAGTGCCGTGGCGTCAGGCTAGCTCACAGCAACCTCAAACTCCGGGTCTCAAGCGATCCTTCTGCCTCAGCCTCCCGAGTAGCTGGGACTACAGGCATGCACCACCATGCCCGGCTATTTTTTTCTATATGTTTTTAGTTGTCCAGCTAGTTTCTTTCTATTTTTAGTAGAGATGGGGTCTTGCTCTTGCTCAGGCTGGTCTTTAACTCCTGACCTTGAGCGATCCTCCCGCCTCGGCCTCCCAGAGTGCTAGGATTACAGGTGTGAGCCACCACGCCTGGCTGATGCCTGTGTTTAAGTAGAGAAATTGTTTTTATGACTAAGAAAATCATATAAAAAGCAAATACAATGTCTCATGTACGTAATGTGATGTCACATAATTGTGAAGTTTTTTTTCTTCCTCCTCAATATCTTCCTGCTGCCCTGCTTCTGTGTCTTTCTTGCGGGGAAACCAGTTATGGCAGTGAGTTGAAGGAACTACTTATTAAGGCCCTGCTTCTAAGTGGGACTAAGGAGAGCGTTAACTTCTTATGGAACTGGCCATGGATCCTGTCCCTTTAGGAGCTGTCACTCTTTACTATTGAGGAGCTGTTCACAGACCTTCAAAAACTATGGGGAGAGTGGGGGCAGGGATATGCCACCAGACTCCCCCCCCCTTTTTATTAGCACAAGTGCAAAATGTCCCCATCTCCTGCCCAATGGGCCATAGCATTAGATCTGATGCTCTGGTAAGATCTCTTCAGGCCCTCAGAGATGTGTGTGCTCATGAACACTTGGCAGGGAGCGCTGCGGCTGGGAGGATGAGTTCCAGGCCCAGTTCCCCAGAGCAGTGGTTTGTGTCTCTCCTCCCAGCAGGCTTCCCGGGGCCTTTTTTGTTGGTAATCATCACCACTAGTTCTGCTCAGTCCCTGAAAATAAGCACGTAGGCCCTTTTTATTTTAAGATTTTACTGTTAAACAAAAATAGCAGTATTAGGAAATCACAAAAGTCTCAGACTTGTTTCCCTTCTGGAAGCCCCTTGGGACATAGCTTGTATTCCTTATGTTGGGCTTTCTTTTCCTTCTGACTTCTTCCCCTTCTCCCATTAAAGGAAAAGTTTGCTCTCAGAGAAGCCTCATTCCCAGCATGTGGGCCTGAAGATGCAGGGAATGCCAAATGGTCCATAATTTTTTGTTTTAGCCTGGGAGCTTGCAACTGAGGGGATGTCCGATGGGTATTGGCTCTGAGATATTCAGAGCATTTCCTCAAAGCCCTCATTTTGAATCCAAATAACAGTTTCTCATCCAATGCGAAGTTTCATTGGACCTTCCTTTCTCCAAATTCAGTTTAAATCATAACTATTCTGGACAATGTACAGTTTGTCCAAATGTGAATTCACGGATATTGTTTGATTAAGAAAGGATCCCTCAGTTAGTAATGAGTGATGGTAAATTGGCCTGGCTGCTGACATCCTCGGGCAAAGTCCATGCTGGCTTGCTTCCTCTGTAAGTTGAATTCAGATGACATCTTTTGCTTTTGGAAGACAATATTCCAGACATGAAATAAGAAACTATGAGTCACACAATAAATATAATAGTAGGCTTGTGCCATGGCTGCTCTTAGAGTATTGTATTTTAGTGCTCGTTTAATTATCTGTTTGCTATAGAAGTTGGCAGTCCTGCCTTTTCTCTCCTGTAAACAAAATAATATTGTTTAATTCCTTCGCTACTATTGCCATAATAGTAGAAACTCTAAACTATTTTTTAAAAAACAGATTTAGATTTGTTATGAATCTAAAATATTTAGAGTTTCTTAACTCTTAACTGGAAATTTGATTTCTTTAGCTTACTGAACATTGAGTGAAGTCAGGGGTATTGACTGCTGTTAACTGGTCAGTACCTTTTCTCCTCTGCAGCAGAATCTATATGGGAAGCCAAATGACAGTCAGAAGTTTGCTTGGCGAGCATGGCGTCAGAGCCAGAGGGAGGTGGATGGCCTGAGTGGCATGTGTCCTACAGCCCCGGGAGCTGGATGTTCTCCCCACTCCAAAGACAGTGTTGTAGAGCAGAGCCAACTGCTTCTCCTCTTGGCTGGCCCAGTGCTGGAAACTGAGTGTGAATAGCCTCTCTTGTTAAAATAGAACACAAAACCCTCTAAAGGTTGAGCAGATGAGAGCTCTGGAAGACGAGACTGTGCGTGCAGTTACCAGCTTGTTCTCCTGGATTTCCCCTCTCCTGCCAGTTCTCTCCCTTTCATCTTGGGTGTTCACCACCATGGTCAGCTCCAGGGGCATTTTGTGGTGCCCTCTAAAAAAATTGGCCAAAGGCAAACATCAGCTGTCTTCCTTTTGTTCTCGGCACAGCTGAGACAGGCTAGAACAGCAAAGAATATCTTACTAAAATTAAGAATATCTTATTAAAATTAAGAGAAAACTGTAAAAGCATCAGGCTGAGAGAGGATAGATTTCTGAGCTTGGTGCAAAAGGTTAGGAGATGCAAGCTAAACAGTTAATCATGACCAGGTTAGACAGTGACTTCATTTTCTAATATGATGCCTTTTTCCAAGAGTACTGCCTTTTTCAAAATATCTTTACCTCAGGCAGCTACAACTGAATAGCTTACATATCCTTTATCAGCCTGGTTTACTTTTGCAGATGACTCATCTCATTTTAACAGTCTTTTAGTTCATTCTTAGAGTTGTACCATTTCTGATGTCCTTAAATTCTAGGGGCATGTCACAAAGCCCAGAATGCACTAATTACAAAATAAGTGTGCCAGAGTCCTAGGAATGACTTCTTTTTCTGTCTTGTTCAGAATATCATTATGAAAGCATTTAAAAAAATATTCAATATTTTTTGAGTCAATAGCAGCCATTGTTTTTGATGTTCAAATTCATTTTTGGCCAATAGGAAGGAACATATTTAGTGGCTCTTGTGTCCTTTTGACACGACCCCATTAATCTTGGAGCACTTCTTTCCTTTTTGAGTTCATCAAGATGTTTCAGACTCATCTTGTACTTTTTCTAGCCCAGACCTGGAATCAATCACTCCTGAAAGGAACTTTTTGTTCCTTTTAGTGGAGAATGGTCTTCACAACCTGGGGCTGGGGGTGTTCATTGTTGCTGAGTTGGCCCTACTTCTAAACCTATTTAGTGGATATGTGGTGGGTTTTTTTTGGCTGTGTGTTTTGTTTTGTTGCGATAGGGTCTCACTGTATTGCCTCGCGGCCTGATCTTAGATCACTGCAACCTTGAGCTCCTGGGCTCAAGTGATCCTCCTAGCCCAGCCTCCCAGGTAGCTGGGACTATAGGCATGTGCCACCATGCCTGGCTTTTAAAATTTAACCTATTATTAGTATAACATGTTATTCCAAAATCAAAACTACATAAGGCACATCGAGAGAAATCTCCATTTTTCATTCTTGTCTCCTCCATGCTGTTCCCTCTTCCGCAGATTTTTTAAAAGTTAGTTTTTGGTTTATCCAGTGCTTCTGTTTCTACATATTAGCACACTCAAGTATCTTTATATCCCCCACATCCTTTCCTTCCTCATTCATTTTTATGGTAAATAGTCCATTGGTGAACATACTGCATGTTCTCACTTACAAATAGGAGCTAAGGGTACACGTGGTCACCCAGAGTGCTAATAATGGACATTGGAGACTGAGAAAGGGGGACGGTGGGAGGGAGGTGAAGGCTGAAAAATTACCTATTGGGTACAGTGTACACTACTCTGGTGATGGGTACACTAAAAGCCTGGACTTCACCACGATACAGTTCATCTATGTAACCAAAAACCACTTGTACTCTTAAATCTATTGAAATTTTGAAAAATACTCTACTGGTGAATATCGTAGTTTGAGGTTTTTTTTCTGTTTTTTTTTTTTTTTTTACTGTAATGCTGGTTAATAGTTCAGAACTACTGAAGTCTGGCTGGAGAGCTGAGGAAACACTTCCTTTTAAAACTTTTAAATAGAAAAGTGGGCTTCAAGAAAAAATTATTCCTAAGAGAAACCACCATGAAAAATTGTTTTTCATGCTCTCCATGCCTCCCTAAGCAACCAGGAAAAGAGTTCAGCGCAATTGGGGATGACACTTGTGCTTCACCATCTGCCACATTCGTCCTGCGGTCGGTTGACCGGCTCTTCCCAGGCTGCTCGGATGAGGTGGGCAGTTGCATCTTGCGCCCTTTGGTGCCCCCTCCAGGCCCTCTCAGACCTTGGGAGAAGCGCGGAAGTGTCTGCCGCTGTTTCTGGTCCCCGAGCGCGGTTGCTCGCCCGCCGGCTCCCCGCCAGAGCTGGGGCGCCCCGCCTGCGCACGGCGGTGCCGGCATTGGGGGCGGGAGCGCCGCCTCCGTCTCCCGCGCGCTCGCTCCCGCCCTCCCTCCCCGCCCGAGCCCTCGCCTGCCTCCGCCGTGCAGGCTCCGCACTGCAGATGCCCCTGGCTCCCCTGCGCCTGGCGGTGCCCCGCAGGTCCCCGTGACCCTCGAGCACCGGCTGTACTCTCGCTGCTCCCGAGGGACCCTCGCCTGCGCTCGTTCGCCGAGCCCCGTGAGCGAAGCCGTTAAGCCGGTGGGGCAGCGGGGACCGAGGCGGACGGTGGCCGCGCCGGAGCCCGGGGCGCTCTCGGATGCGGCAGGACAAGCTGACCAGCTCTCTGAGGCGCGGGGGAAGATGCCTGAAGCGGCAGGGTGGCGGCGGCGTGGGCACCATCCTGAGCAATGTGCTCAAGAAGCGCAGCTGCATTTCCCGGACCGCGCCCCGGCTGCTCTGCACCCTGGAGCCGGGTGAGGACCCGGGGCTGCAGATGGGGCGCTGGAAAGTAGCTTGGCGCCTGGGAGCTGGTGCTGCTCGCGCTTCTGCCTCAGCTGGACTCCGCCTAGGCCGGGGGGCGCCCGCACGCAGCCCGGTGCGGGCCACCGCGGCTTGTTGCCGGCGGGGCTCGGTCGGCCCGAGAGGGCAGAGCGCGCGGACGAGGGCCTGGGCGGGGGCAGCGGCCTCCCGAGGCGCGGAGCACCGGCTGCTCCCGCCCGCTGTTCGCGGACGCCCACCCCGCGGCCTGTGAGCTCGGCCTTCTCCGCGCGCTGGGGAAGTGCGGGCGGCCGCCCCGGCCGCCAGAGGCCGCGCCACCTATTGTGCTGCAGGCTCGCAGAAAGCCAGACCTTGGAAGAGGTGTGTGGGGCGGAGACAGGCACAGGTTTGTCACTAGAGGTCGGAGGGGAAGGCAGCGGCTGCGAAGGCAAAACTTGGGTGTATTTTCCTGAGAGTCCCTGCGGCGTGAGTGTCGGGGTCAGCTCGCACCCGCGCCTCTAATTTGTGCCCAGGTGGGGAGCTGGCAGGCGATCCTTTCTATAGGTGAGGTCCGGGAGCGCGCCTGGCGGTGCTAGGCTAGGCCTTTTCTGCCAACAGCCCGTGTTTACACGTCCCTGCTTCTCCAGGCTGCATAACTCAGCTCCGCCAGCCGGCATCCCTCCCTGGGGTTTTAGGAGCCCGGCCCTGGCGCGGGCTGCTGGGCGCGGAGCAAGCCGGCTCTGCTTGCACCGGTGCTTGGTGCTCACCTGTCCCTGCAGTGGCACCAGCTGGGCTTCAGGCGGGTTCGTCGTCCCCAATCCCCGTCTCCCAGTGCCTTTGGGGACTTGCTATCATAGAGCTGCGGGAGAATCGGCCCAGGCACTGAGTCCCAAAGGGTGGAACGCGTCGCTGCCTTTCCGAACCTCGTGGTTCCTTTGTTTTTCTGCCCTAGGAAGTATCTAGTTGCAGAGGCTGTAGTATTTATTCACCGTCTTCCTTTACTTTTTTTTTTAATCTCCTTCCCACGTTAAAAGTGTTTTGTATTTCTGAATCCGGAACAGCTGTGATTATCAGATGTAACATAAACCTTCTCCCCTCCCTTATTCAAGTTAGAAGAAAAGGGGGTGAAGATGACCTGGTTTAAGCTTTTGCATGCAGACGGCGAAATGGTCAATCCCAGTTAAATCCTCTTACTCATTTTTGATCATGAGAAGATAGTTGTGGTTTTGGCTAACTAACCCCAGCTGCGTTTCCACACGGAAAGTCAATAGGCGTGACTCCCCCCAGGTGCTCTGAAAACGTCAGTGGAGCATATTCGGTCATACATAACAGGGAATCGGGAGCTGTTAAGTGCAGCAAGAGTAAAGCGGCGCGGTACGAAATTTCCTGGTCTTTGTTATAATAAAGCAAGCGTCATGACTCTACGCTCCTCCATTCAGCACCTTGCGTCTGGACAGCAACCTCACAACAGGTCTTGTTTTCACGCCTTGAGTGTAGCACTGTAGCTGGAGGCACCCTTGTGGCCACTGTGTCACTGCTCTGCACTGGGGTAGCACTTCATTAAACCATCTCAGAGAGATGAGGATCCGTGGGGTACTTAATATTCCTTTGGAGAATAAAATCTTATCTCTCCAAGCAGAGTATGGTTTTGACCCTGAAGCTTTGGGGGGCAAAAATCAAGGCATTGATTGGATGGATGCCTGGGATTCTCAGTAGCTTGACTTTAGAAATGTAGGACCCAACTCCTGCATTCACCGCATTCTTCCAGGGCTCCAAGAAGGGCATCTGCTTGCTGTTGTGGCCTTGGGCAAATCAGATACATCTCTTTCCAGCTTCTTGACTCCATGTATATATATTTCTTTAAAAAGACCAGTATACTTTACTATTATTATTTTATAAATTTTGAAGATTGTTCCTATCCATACCAACCCCTAAGCAGTAGAAGTTGCGGAGAGGTTTTCAGTATACCTAATCTGCAATCAACAGTCTTAAAAGCATAAATGTCATCATTTGACTTTAGCAAATTGTAAAACTGAATTATTGATAATGTTTGGTATTTTTCTTGGTCCTTGAACTTTCAAACAATGTCTTTTAAAAAGTGACTTAAAATGTCATTTCATTGATCGTAAAGTTACAGAAAAAGTATAGCATTTTCACATTTGATTTTTTAAATAGAATTTAAGCAGGAATAAAAATTGTCATGTATTTTCACTTCGATAACAACACATAATTCTAATATGGAATTCTGAATAAAAGCCCAATATAAATATTAAACATTAGAGACTTTATGTATTTTCCCATTTACTTTTATTCTGTAGATTTGGGATTTGAGTTGAAGTTTATCTAAAGTTGCAGATTACTTGAAGTTCAGTTCTGTTTTTAGCTTGTAATCTATAATAAACACACTGTTTTATCTTCAATGAATAAGTATATCAAGATAGAATTTAAAAATATATGAACATCTCCACATGGAATTGTTGTAACCATCATCCCATAAGAGGGAAGTCAGTGATATATTTTATAGCTTTTGATACTCCATTGAAATTTCCTTAGTATTAGTCCATGCAGGTGTCCTAGAAAAACAAACTCTGTAAGAGAATTCTCTTCCTAAATTTCACAAATATTAATTACACTGTGCTAGGTGATTTGTAGTTAATCATCACAACAATCCTCTGAGGTAGAAGTTATCCTCATTTTAAAGATAAAAGAATTGAAGCCTGGCATGGTGGCGCAGGCCTGTAGTCCCAGATACTCAGGAGGTTGAGGCCAGGAGTTCAAGGCTGCAGTGTGCTGATAGCCACTGTGTTCCGGTTTGGGCATTCCGTTGGGCCCGGTTTTTTTTTTTTTTTTTTTGAGACCCTGTCTCTTAAAAAAAAAAAAAAAGAATTGAGGCTGGCAGACTAAGTAATTTGTTTGAGTCTAGGAACCAAAGTTGAATGGAGGTGTGTGTGACTCCAAGCCTGCAGTGTCGTTTTTTTGTTTTTGCACTACTCCAGGCAGCTGTGGAAACCACCATCCTGTATGATAAGCTACATTCTGTTGCCATAGGGTAGTTTCCCATTTTAATAATCAATATGCTTTTTCTTTTAACAAAACTGACTAAAATTTAGTAAAAAGTTTTAGAAAAATTTATGATGATCCAGTAGAATCAAGTTTTTACCTTTATTTGTGATATAACTTGCAGCCTCAAAAAGTAACAGCTATTATTTATTTTTTTTAGGAGTTGATACAAAGTTGAAGTTCACTCTTGAGCCGTCTTTAGGTCAAAATGGTTTTCAGCAGGTAACTTTACTTTTGGTTTTGAAAACACTCTTCTTTAGGGGTACCAACAGGGTATGTGGAGATGTATTCTTAAAATGGTAATATTAACATATTCTTTGGTAATGCATATGAAGATGAGTCACTTTTGAAAATGTATTTTAGATAAAATAACTTTTGAGCTACAAGTGACCTGGGTTTATACTTGCAATGGAAAATTTTGTACTTTCTATTAATGGTACAAATGTAAAAAAATTTAAAAAACCAAATATCTATTATTCTGAACCCCTAATAAGTGTTATGGTTTCTAAATCAGAGCTTCCCAGCCACTTTGTATGTGCTGCACATGGGTCATAGGTGTGTTAAGGGTGTCTAAGGGGTGGGACTTGGGGCAGTAATAGCCCCACACCAACCACTTCTGGCTGAAAGAAGCTTTAGTTGTTACCCACAGTGTACGGTTCAAATTTTGTTATACTCTATGGATGTCAAGATGGAAAAAGTGTGAAAAGTGCTTATCCAGGTCAATGTTATCACTTCCTTGATATTTCTTTGTTCCTAGTGGTATGACGCTCTCAAGGCAGTTGCCAGATTATCCACAGGAATACCAAAGGAATGGAGGAGAAAGGTAAGAGGATTCATAGGGCTAAAATACAAAAGGACCATCACTCTGTCCTCTTTTAAAGCCTGTGAAATGTCAAAAAGTATATTATAGGTGTAGGAACTTAAAACCTGTCTTTTCATTATTCATGCATACAATAAGTATTTATCAATTACCTGTTTTGTGCCAGATGCTATTCTGGGTGCTAGGGATACAGCAGTGGAAAAAAAAAAACAAAAAACAAAACTCAAAACAGACCAAAGTTTTCGTCCTCATGGAGCTTACAATGAATAAAATATAAAGTATGTCAGATGGTAATGGAGGAAATAAAAGTGTCATGGATAAAAATAAAGCATAGAAAGAAATGAGGAGGGTTGGGAGCAAGGGGGTAAGTAGGTGGAATTTTAAATAGCAAGGTGACCTTTGGGTAGGGCCCTAAAGGAGATGATAAGTCAGCTGTGCAGCTACCTGGGCAAAGACTCTCCAGACAGAGGGAAGAGCCAGTGCAAACACCCTCAGCCCTGAGGCGGGAGCTTCTTGGGACTATTCAAGTGGGGGCAAAGAGGAAAGCAATAGGAGAGAGGGTCATGAGGGGCTGTGGTGGGTTGGGGGTAGCAGAGCATGGAGGACCTGGGAGGCTATAGTAGGACTTGCGCTTATGCTCAGAGTGAGAATGAAAGCACTGGGAAATTTTGAGCGGAGAAGTAACATGATCTCATTGATATTCCAAGTGGGCCAATCTGGCTACTGACTTGAGAATATGAGAGACAAAGGTAGAGCAGGGAGACCAGTAGGAGACTTGCAATAATTCAGGCAAGTCTTCTGCTGGCGAGGATGGGTCAGGGTGGTGGTAGTGGAGATGGAGAGAAGAGATCAAATTCGAGATATATTTTGAAGGCTGAGCTGACATGAATTCCTATTGGTTTGAATATAAGGTGTAAGAGGGATGTCAAGGATGACTTCCAGATTTTGGCCTGAGTGATGGGAGGGTGGAGCTACTGTTTACTTAGATGGGAGGAGCAGGTTTATGTGTCTGTCTGTCTAGTTGGTGTGGTGGTGGGTTGAGTGATTGGTTTCAGATCTGTTAAGGTTGAGATGCCTATTAGCAATCTAAGTTGAAAGTATCAAGTTGAACATATGATTCTGATGTTTTAGGAGGGAAGCTTGGCTAGAGATATTAAGCAATGTTATTTCTGCTAAATTATGGCAAAATACCAAAATTTGAAATGTGCTCTTAGGTTATTAATTTATGAACCCAGTCTTTATACTGCTAGAATTTGAACATTGAGGGTTCCTCAAAATGTACACTAAAAATGGCATTATGAAATACATCTTTCAGAAATAGATTTTCTGGATAAGATAATAAAAGAAGTAAAAATATTCAGTGACTCTTTTTAAAAGTTATTCATTATGAGAGGCCATCTGTCAGTTTTGTGTGTGGGGGGGTGGGAGGGAGGGATAACTTAAAGGTGGAGGCCACTCCATGGTGAAAAAGGCCCATTCACCATGAATGACCATGTGGCTTTTGCCCAAGTGTAGAGAGCAATTTGGAGCCATGTAAAACAAGCTTATAACGTTATACAGCTAAGTCAATGAACTGAAATAAAAATTGAAAATCTTTTTGGTCTATTTTCTTAACAGTATTCCTAATGCCTCGATTGTTGCTTGACACATAGTAGGAACACAACAAATATTTGTTGACTATCCCATCTACTCGGGAGGCTGAGGCAGAAGGATTGCTTGAGCCCAGGAGTTTGAGATTGCTGTGAGCTAGGCTGATGCCACGGCACTCTAGCCCGGGCAACAGAGTGAGACTCTGTCCTCAAAAAAAAAAAAAAAAAAGAAAAAAAGAAAGAGTAATATGAAAGGATCTACATGATGCAATTCAGTAGAGCAAAAATTTCAATGAGGCTCTTGTAGATTTCTACTCATGAGCTATATCTGGCCTAGGAACAATTCCCATTTTCCTGTTGGATGCAATAACTATTTTCTAATAAAGATGAAATTATGTATTCTACTTTAGCATTCTTCTTTATGTAATATTTTAGGTTTGGTTGACCTTGGCAGATCATTATTTGCACAGTATAGCCATTGACTGGGACAAAACTATGCGCTTCACTTTCAATGAAAGGAGTAATCCTGATGATGACTCGATGGGAATTCAGATAGTCAAGGTAATGCCCCTGAGCTTGGCCTGTCATCCTCAACACAGAAGAAACACTCTAAGATCCTCATGTTTTTCGGACAGAGGATCAAATGATCTCTACCTTATGGTCTGAATATCTGTATATTTTATGCCTTGTCATTTCATTAGTTAATAGCTTTTTTATGGGGAGCCTTCATTCTTCATAAATTTAAATGTTGCCGGTAAGAAGAAAATGTTAGTGAATGAGCTTCCATTCATATTCATTTTATTTGCCTTCTTCACAGGATAGGAGATTGAAATTCCTTTTTTTCTTTCTTTAGCATGGGTCAGTGCTGCCAACTGGATTTTTACATAAAACTCACTGATTGAGAAATTTAAAGTTAAGTATATTTCATATTAGAATCATTTGGCTCTTATTAGGGTCTTTGATGGTTTCTTAACTGTCAGTTTATAAAGATAGTTATGTTGACTGACGGGTCTACTTTTAAAGTAGACCAAGTGATTGACCAAGTGGTTGAAGATTCAAGCCAGCTGTGCAGGTAGCCGTGATTTGCCTACGGGATTATTACAGTTGATTAGAGCCTGGTGCTAGAAGCCAAGGATGCTGATTCCATTTGATCCAAGTGTTATCCTCTTACATAAGGCTCTAGCACATGTTTTTGTATTTCGTATGAGTACATTACAGTGTGATGCTAAGCTGGGGTTTTAAAAGGAAAGTTGTTTCATCCAAATTTTGGCCACCACAAGATGGCTAATGTTTTGGCATATTTGAAGACACTTTTTTAGGAAAGAAGTACTAACTAAAATGAGCTACTTTTTGATCTAACTTGGTCTGTTTCAGATAAATGCTAAAAAAAGTTATGAAATTTTACATTGCATACTAAAAATCATTGCATTATCCACACTTTAGCTGTTTATTTGAAATTTCAGAATGTTTCACAGATGAAGTATCTCATATTTGAAATATTTTCTTTCTGTTTAACTTGTGAATGAATGCAATGCACATTTTGTAACAATCATGTTATTAAGAGGATCTTTTATTTTCTTACTGAAGTGACTGATATGTCAGTAAAATGACTTCAGCTTCTGACAATTGTAGTCTCTGCATGGTAATTAAATTGTAGATATTGCCCTCATTACATACTAAAGCACAGCAAATGTTTCTGGCCTTCTTACACAAATTCATGATATAATTTGGATAGAATGATTTTTTTGTCTTTCTACAATACAGATCACATATTTTGCTATTTTGGTTTTATTCCTTAGTATTATTTAGAGTTTTGATAGCTAAATATACCATTTTTTGTGAAAGGAATAATGTTAACATCAATACATGTGTTGCAATGACTATTGTATCTGAGAAATATTATAAAAGCTGTCAATCTGTATGAAATTATGTGATTTTTACTGATTCTGCGTCAGTTTTTATGTCAATTCTGGAAACACTTTAAGTAGCAAATTTGCCTACCTGAGATTCCCCTTGCAAATCTCTCTTAGCATATTAGAAAACATTAGGAACAGGAAAACTAAAAAAGTTCTGTGACTCATATGTATAAGGTGCATATACATTTTTAAAAACTAAAATCCATGTTGATAACATGACTCTATTGTGAGGCAAAAAAAATAACTAGAGAGTATTGAGAGTTTATTTATTTATTTATTTTTTTAAATACTGTTTCCCTTCCATTTTAGGACCTTCACCGCACAGGCTGTAGTTCCTACTGTGGCCAGGAGGCTGAGCAGGACAGGGTTGTGTTGAAGCGGGTGCTGCTGGCCTATGCTCGATGGAACAAAAATGTTGGGTACTGTCAGGGCTTTAACATCTTGGCGGCACTAATTCTGGAAGTGATGGAAGGCAATGAAGGGGATGCCCTGAAAGTAAGTATCAGGCTTGACAAAGGCAACTGACGTTCTCCTGAGAATGAGAAATTGGAACTATAATTCCTCTTCCTTGATGCCTCACCCTTTTCCATGGTGTTTGCCACACCTTTTTAATTACCTCTGATAGTATTTCCCCCAGGTTAGAGCCGTGTCGAATGACAGACTGCCGATGGTCTGCCAATGGTCAGGAGAATGATTATGTGTGTAGTCTCCTTTATAAGACATCATATTTTTAAAGCAAGTTAAATATTAATTGCATTAATCATCCATTGCTGCGTAACAACTTAGGTGCTTGAAACAGCAAACATGTATTACCTTCACAGTTTCTTTGAGTCAGAAATCTAGACGTGGCTTAGTTGGCTTAAGGTCCCTGAGGTGTCCAAACTCTTGGCCAGGGTAGTGGTCTCAGCTGAAGGCTTAGTTGGTGGGGGAAGCATTTGCTTCCAAGTTTGTTCACATGGTTGTTGGCAAGATTTAATTCCTCGCAGGCTGTTGGATTGAGGGACTCAGTTTCTTTCTGGCTGTTGGCTGGAGGCCTCTTTTAATTTCTTGACATGTGGATCCCTTTATGTCACAACTTGGTGGCTGGCATCCCTCACTGAGCAAGAGAGTGAAAGAGAGCAAGCAAAGCAGAAGAGTTTAAGTTGCAGATTTGTAGCCGAATATCAGAAGTGACATCCCATCATTTCTCCACATTTATTAGAAGCCAGTCACCAGGTCCAGCACATAGACAAGAGGAAGGGCTTATACAAAAATGTGACTACCAGGAGGTAGGTATCATGTTAGAAGCTGCCTACCACACCAGTTATGCTTAATTCTGATTGAGTTGTATTATTAGGTTGCTTTCCTCTTACATATTTGGAGCAAGGTAAGGAGGAGTTGGGCTGAGAGTGAGTGTCTATGGAAGGTGTTTGCATGGAGAAATGTTACGGAACTGAATTATATTATTATCTGTTAATCTCTGAAGCCTAGGACTTTTATTAGTTAAAGAAAAAATGCTGGAAACACTTTGAGATGGGACATAGCAGTTTAAGCTTGTTGGTCTGAATGTGAGTCAGTGAGTCACCAGAAATAGTCTTCATGAGAAATAAAACATTTTAAATGTGGTGGTTGGCTGGTGCCGCCTTTGCTGAGGGCAGTGTGGGGTTGCTGATTCATATTTGAACCTTTAAACCACTGTTGATTGCAGTGCTTTGTGATGTATGAGATAGATACTTAATCTGTGTATTCAAGACCCCTCCCCTCTGTGTTTGGCTATGGTGAATACCTTATTGATATTCTCAATCACTGAGTAATGTGATAAGGAAAAATAAACAAATGTCCCTCTTGGTTTTATACACATGATGGTGGACTTAATTATAAATCCAGCCTGCCATGATGCAAATCAGTATTCACCCTCTCACTTTTTCCATTCGTGTATTTAAGGAAACAGCTTTGATGCTACTTGTTCATCAAATAGGCAGGGGCGGAAGAGGAGAGAGGCAGTGACAAATACATGACTTTCAGATATTTTTTATTAAGAAGCAATTTTTTTTACTCAGTCTACCAGTTTTCACCAGGTTTTTTTTCAGATGTAATTTGTGTGACTATAAAATGGGAATTGTTCTGTTAACAGAATAAGTGGCTCAGGTTAGGGAGTGGGATGGAGAAATTTGGGGAAGGGAATGTACATGCCAATCAGACCATGAAAGGGCTCAGTGATACTTGAGAAACTAAAAACTCACATGAAAAGATGGATTAGGTAAAGCTGAGAAACTGAATATTTATACTTCTGCCTCTAAGATAATGAGCTCCATGCAATGAGATGACATCGTCATCATTTAGGAATGTGTAGATCTTGTGATTAGACATTTAATATGCAGAAGAAACACTCGAATGCCGAAAAAAATATTGAATGTCAGTGTTTTTCCAGCAGCTGTTTTGGCCTCTGCAAGTTGTAATTACTGGGGAAATATATAGTTTATTAGAAATAGGTGAAACATTTTTCCTGCTTTAGAGCACTTCCTGTTTTTTCTTAGTAACTGTTTTATTTTCAACTATTGGTTAAAAATTCAAAGTTCTTCCATTATTTATCTTAATCTTTTTTTTTTTAGGATCTAAGATTTGGCCTTTGAAATACAGTTGTAGGTGGAGTGAGTGAGCAGGCTCTATGTCTTCATGGCAGACTTCGAGATGCCTTTAGATAGAGAATTTCAGTATGTCAAGAGCATTACTATGATAATTTAGGAAATATTTTTTGTATTTCTTGTTTTCATATAATTTAGAGGGATCATAATTTCTTAGTAAAAATTAAGTATTGGCCAGGCACCGTGGCTCACACCCGTAATCCCAGCATGTTGGGAGGCCAAGATGGGAGGATTGCTTGAAGCCAGGAGTTCAAGACCATCCTGAGCAACATAACAAGACCCTATCTCTATGATAAAAATCCAAAAATTAGCCAGGTGTGGTGGCATGTCTCTGTAGTCCCAGCTACTCAGGAGGCTGGGGTGGGAGGATCGCTTGAGCCCAGGAGTTCGAGGCTGCAGTGAGCTATGATGATTCTTCTGCACTCCAGCCTGGCAGACAGAGAGAGATTCTGTCTCTAAAAAATAAATAAATTAATAAAAGAAACGAAATATCTTTCTCGGTACTACATATCTTATCCTTAGATGAAAAGTATAGTAATTGACAGCTTAGTATCTTGAAATTTGCCTTCGTGATCCTGTAAATCCCTCTTCGTATCTGTAGAGGGCTATGTCCGTCCGTGCCAGGGGACCCTACCCTGCTAAGAATCTGCCCTTCCCCTCAGCTTCCGCCTCCCAGAACCTCCTCCTTCCACTTAGACCGAAGATGTGCCTTTTCTTGTCACTGAGCTCCTGTTTCCAAGGTGATGATGCATTTACCTGGTAAATTTTATCCTAACCTAAGGCTAAGGCTCTCTGGGCCTGGCCACCCTGTAACAAAGGGTAAGGGCCTTCTCCAGAGAATGCCCCCCACCCTTAATGACTCATTTGAAACCATGATCCTCAACAGTAGAAATCATAAGCTGGGGATGAGGGGAAAACGGGCCCTTGACAGAGCTGGGAGATTTCTTTTGCAGGGAAGTAGTTTTGCAGTATCCTGAAAACGAAAATGTGAGATTGCTGCTTCTCTCCCAACAAAGAGCCAGCCAGCTATGTATACAGAGCCAGCCGTGATTTCGTTCTTATTTGTGTTTTTCTGGTGCTTTGGGGAATGTGCTGGCCTCTTAGGGAGGGGGCACATACAGAATATGCAAGCTGATAGGGGAGGGACCAGGGATTGACGTATAGAACACGTGTGTATGTTGCTGGGTCATTCTAGTGGTTCTTGATGTTTTAGGAAAGATAGAAAAATAGAAATAGAAAAATAAATAGAAATATAAACAAATAGAAAAATAAAAATAATAATTTGAAGAACTTGTATAACAATCTTATGAAAGAAATACAGATTTTAAAAAGTACCGTTTGTTCAAACAAAACCTAATTGCCTTCTCCCAGGAGAGGAGAGTAGACAGAAAGCCAACATCAGTTGCTCTAATAGCCCAGGTTGGTGGTAAGTGAATCTCGAGACCCGCTTCAGTGGGGGTGTTTTAGGATAGGCCAGCTCTTGGCTTTCGTTTTGAGGTTGTAAAACTGTGCTGACAATATTGAGCCAATACTGAGCTTCCTGCCGGCTGCTGCTGAAGCTTGTGCTTTGTCATTTCTCAGAATGAGGCTGAGGTTGTAAATTACAGCTACTTATGGGGTGAACTCAGGTCTAGCAGCCCGTCTAGAAATTTCAGATAGCAGCAGACGTGGGGTCTGAGTAACTTAGATAATTATGCCTCCCGCTCCTTACCCAGCGGGTAGGTGAGCCTTGAAAATCTGGAACATTTGGTACTGATACGTTTAAAGGACAGTGTGCTTTGGCTAACTGCATTTTATCTGAAAGTATTATTTTTATTTGGGACATGTCAGGATCCTTGTTTTTACAAAGCAGTCTTGTTCTTTATCTTTTTCTTCAGATTATGATTTACCTTATTGATAAAGTACTTCCTGAAAGCTATTTTGTCAATAATCTCCGGGCATTGTCTGTGGATATGGCTGTCTTCAGAGACCTCTTGAGAATGAAGCTCCCTGAATTATCTCAGCACCTGGATACTCTTCAGAAAACTGCAAACAAAGAGAGTGGAGGTAGTGATGATTCAATGCTATTATACCTTTGAAACGTTTGACTTCTTTGATCCCACAGTACATATGAGCCTGAACTTCGAATGGAAATAAATGTTTCCAGGTATTTCTGTTTGTAAGAGTTTGGTGCAGTGAAATCATTCAATTTCCAGAGAGAACAAAACCCAAACTGGAAAAACATAGGGTGGACCTGTGGCCTTGGGGCCACATGTGATCCTCTGGATCCTTGAATGCGGCCTTTTGACCAAATCCAAATTTTACAGAACAAATCCCTTTATTAAAAGGATTTGTTCCGTGAGGTTTGGATTTGGTCAAGGGGCCACACTTGGGGATCTGGAGAGCCACATGTGGCCCCAAGGGCGTAGGTTCCCCATATGTTGTACTCTAAATGGAGAATGGTGTACGTGTCTTACTACCCAAAAATTACTCTAAGCTGGCACCAAACCTATAGGTGTTTAAAACTGAGGTCCAGGTACAATTTAGCACAGCCGTGGGTTTGCCTGAACCGTTGAGGTTATGGAATAGAAGCTCTGAGAGTTGCTGCTGTCTAGTGGGCTTCGTCAAGCTTTTGGAGGTACCTGAGCTAGTAACTGTAATTATATCCACTGTTTGCATTTTCCCAGCTGTGCTCAGAATACCAGGAAGAATAGTCAGAAGTTTGTTGAATTTCCTGTAAATGGGGTGGCAAATTCCTTGTTGTAGCCCATGCATTTGTAGTCTAGTCTGACCCACAAATTTAAATCTGGGAAAATAGTAAAGGATTTTGAAGATCTGGTCTGTGATTAAAATACACTGGAAATTTTGGTGATACCTTGAATGTTTCTAAGCATTTCCTTCTAAGCCATTTAAATAATCTAATTTGTGCAGTATAACTGTGCACCTGTGTGGATTTCATAAAGGCTTTCAGGTAGACCAAGCTTGCTTGTCCCATAGTAAGACACACTTTACTGAGCTACATATTTTTACCCAGGTGCCTTGCACTTGGCTATGAGGAACGACTTCAGATTCTAGTCTCTGAACAAAGATACTTCCTTTGTTCATAGGTAAGGAGGAAGAAAATGAATGCAGGAAAACAGATCTCTTTTTGCTAAAGCTTAGGTAATTGTACCTACTGACTGTAATTTGAAGTCAGTTTAAACATCTAAATTTTTATGTTTCATTAAAATGCATACTTATCACAGGAAGTGAGAGGGAGCGCTATGTTTTCAGTTAATTCAGAAATTTCAAAATGGGCTGGATGCCAGATCTTTAAAACCATGTATAATTTAGTTCAAAATATTTTTTAAATTTAATGTTTAATCTCTAAATATTTTGGGATTTTCCAGCTATCTTTCTGTTAGTGATTTGTAGTTTAATTCCATTATGGTCTGATAACTATTATAGTTTAAGAAGTAGACAGATAATTTATAATAAGCAATTTTATTCTTAGCAGCATTTGAATAAAAGTGGGCGTTATAAAATTTTAAAAATCAGATGGCTTTTGCTTTTGAGAGGCTAAAATTTTTTTCTTTCTTTTTTTTTATTTTTTGATGTTTTATTTGAAACCAGTTAGCTAAATTAATTATTCTCTCATATTCAGTTTTATAAATAAATTAAAAAAATTTTTTTTTCTTCTATTTTTGGTGAGGAAAACTTGCTCCTTAATTTTCAGAACCCTACAATAGGTAGAGCCAAAGTAAGTTTTAGGATAAGATTTCTGAAGTATTGTAAAGAATTTGTGAAGTTCATATTATTGAGATTTTTATTAAATACACCTATGTTTTTCTGGAAACATGGAAGGCAAACTAGGAGGAAAGAATGAGAATTTAAAGATATGAAGAAATCAGTCAGGCAATATAACATATTTGGGTGGACGTGGAAGACTAGAAGAAGGCATTTGTGTATCTCGCATATCAGAATTTAGTGTGTTTGTTTTATTTCAGGTGGATATGAGCCCCCACTCACGAATGTCTTCACGATGCAGTGGTTTCTGACTCTCTTTGCCACGTGCCTCCCTAATCATACAGTTTTAAAGATCTGGGATTCGGTCTTCTTTGAAGGTTCAGAAATCATCCTAAGGGTGTCGCTGGCTATCTGGGCAAAGTTGGGAGAGTAAGTAATTTTCCCCCTTCTGTTCTGTTGTGTGGTGTCGGGGCCTTAAGCAATTTTTGTGTTCTCATGTGTAAAGCATCAATATTTAAGTGTGAGGAAAAGAGAAAGTTGTGAATTTCTTCAATTGCTTTAGCCTCCTGAAATCTTAGCTGGCGTATTCTTGGCAGATGGAATCTATTTGAGAGAAGGGGACAGGCTTTCTCAGGCCTGAGTTTCTTCCCCTCCTCCTCAGTGCTTGTGTCCTGACTGTTTTGCTCTTCATCAGCATCTCTCTGGACTCTACTTGGGAAGAGGGAGAGGAACTAAGGTGGAAGAGAAACTGGAAGATCTGGAGAGGAGTAGGTAGATTTGTTGGTTAAGATCACAATTTGGATTATTTGTGAATCTTTATTTTGTTCTGCCTTTCAGGGCTGTGATAAAATTAAATGAGATAACATATAAAGGTATCTAGCAGGGTGCTTGGTACCTAGTCAACAGTAGAACACATGGAAGTTCTTTCCTTTCATCAAGAATTAATTGTGGCTGGTTGCAGTGGCTCATGCCTGTAATCCCAGCTACTTGGGAGGGTGAGGTAGGAAGATTGCTTGAGCCTAGGACTTTGAGGCCGCAGTGAGCTATGATTGTGCCACTGCACTCCAGCCTGGGTGACAGAGTGAGACCCTGTCTCTTAAAAAACAAAAACCAAACTTAATTCTATGTTGAAATCTATTACTGCCAAAACATACTACCAAATACATTGTACTTAACATTCTTTGCTAGTAGCAGGGCTGAAAAAGATAGGGTATTTTCCCTCGTCTCTGATTATGACTATTACATTAAAATTGTACCTTTTGGGTAATGGAAGAAGCATTAGGATGAAACTGTTACTGTTAAGAAGCAGAGTTTTTAATGTTTCTTTCCTAGAGCCATAAATGACTTGAGCGGGTACCATAGACAACATGTCAGGAAGCTAAAAAATCACTAGCAGTGTTTTGTTTCAAGAACTTTTTAACTAGCCTTTTTATTTATAAGTTGTTTCCTGGAAGACTTTAGCATTTTTAACTTTTTTGCAAAGAAAGATCTACCAACTATCAATTCAGGGATTTAAAAAAATCATTATTATGTATATTGTTAAACATCACATAGCTATCTCCTTTGCCTTTGTTTTATTGTACATTGTTTTTCAGCTAGGCAAATAAATTAATCTCTATGGGATTTGGTGTGCTATTTACTTATCTTTCCTTTTTTTTGAGTCAGAGTCTCACTCTGTTGCCCAGGCTAGAGTGCCATGGCATCAGCCTAGCTCACAGCAACCTCAAATTCCTGGGCTCAAGCGATCTTCCTGCCTCAGCCTCCCCAGTAGCTGGTTTAACAGGTGCACACCACCATGTCTGGCTATTTTTTTCTGTTTTTTGTAGAGATGGGGTCTCGCTCTTGCTCAGGCTGGTCTCGAACTCCTGAGCTCACGCGATTCTCCAGCTTCGGCCTCCCAGAGTGCTAGGATTACAGGTGTGAGCTGCCGTGCTCAGCCTACTTAGCTTTCATTTTCTCCCAATGACTACCTTTTTCTGCAGCCATGTATTTCCAACCTTCTCTGTACCTTATAAAGCTTTTTGAGCTTTGATAGTTTTTCTGGGCATGACAGTCCAGTTGCTATGTAACTAGTTTGCAAGGTTAAAGTAGTAAAGCACTTTACTGTGTGATGAGTCACTTACAGTTGCCTTTGTGTTAGTTCTTAATGGAGAGGGACCAGGAAGAAAAGAGATCATCTTGGTTTTACTACCATCTGTCTGTTCTCTGTAGGATCAGAATTTATTCCTGTGATCATTCCAGGGATGTCATGCCATTGAAATAATAATAGCTGTGAATAATGTGAATATACTGATAATAAATGGCTACTGTTTATGAAGTTCAGGGAATATATGAATCAGACGGATAGAATTTTAAATGTTTCAGAGTTGTTGCTTATTGTAATTCTGTATCTTTTGAGCATGAAACTTGTTGAGGGAAAGGAAAGGCAACCGATATACATCACGAAGTGCCTACCATTCCTGCCATTACGGTAGGCAGATTAAACGCATTATCTCATTCAGTTCTCCCAGTAACCCTGTGACATGAGTAGGATTATTCTCCGTATCTTTTCAAGTAAGAAAACTACCCAAGGAAGGTGTGATTCACTGTCACACAGCCAATGAGAAACAGAACTTGAGACTTAAAACTGGATCTTTCTGACTCTAGTGCCTGTTATCATCCCCACAAATTGTCCATCGGAAAAACCATGAACAGCATATAGGTGATCTTCAGTTCATATGCCTCATGTGTGGTTATCCATGGAACCGCTCCCTTCACCTTGCTTCTGTAACTTGGAATTTCTACCTTTTACTCACCCGAAGAGTTCTTTTGGGATATGTGAGTTACAGACCATTAGCTCATGAAGCTAGCATCTCCTTTGGTGTCCTTTTTTTCTCTGACCCTACTGTTTTGGCTCACTCCCTCATTACCTTGTGCCCGGCCTATTATGATGTGTCCTCCCTGGTCTCCCCGTTGTACCCCATATTGGCCATGCCACACCACCTCCAGGCCGACCTTGCCAAGGGCACAGCTGTTCCCTCACTCCCTGTGAAGAGCTTGTCGGCGACTCCTGTCCTTAAGAGGCTCAGCTGGCAGGTGAGGCCTTTGCCATCTGCCCTCTGTAGCTCTCTACCCGCAGCTCTCACCAGCTTCCTCTGGCCATGCAACCACTCTGCCCACACTGTTTGTGCAGAGCTATTGCAGTTCCTGGACAGGGCCTGCTGTCTCCTGCATCCATGTCTTTGGAATGCTTTTTCTTCCTTGTCAACCTGAAGAACATTTTCCAAAACTCTTCTCAAGCATTATTTCTCTTCCTTTCCTCCCAGAGTAAATTTAATCACCTTTTCATCTGTGCCCACATGCTCCTCTGTGTATTTGTAATAATACTTCAACAGTCTATCTCATTTATTTATTTACATGATTGTGGCAATGAGATTAGAGCAACACTCCATAGCCTGAGGTTTTTCCGTCACCGTATATATGTTTTTTTGGATGGCTCTATGGAAATCCCCCAACCTTAGTGTACGTCAGAGCATAGATGTTATGGTCGATGGGCAGATAGAGTTATTTTACTATACAAAGGACATTGTAATAGATAACAGAAATATCCAGTGCTTTTTGCTTTGGACTATCCCTTCCCCACCCCACCCAACCCCCTTCTAGAAGAAGGATTAAGTCTAACCTGTCTCACAGGTTGCCAGTTACTAAGTGTCTTTACATGTAGAACTGAATGCCAGAAACAGGGTATGATCTTCACCTAGCAGCAATGCCCTGAGAATTCAACCTGTGACAACATACTGTTGACTGATGAAATATGCAGATAAAGTTCTTGTATTTTCATCTTTTACTTTGTATAGTTTCAATTTATTAATGATATCAGTGTTTGCATATTAAGGACAACAGTTTCCCTACAGGGGATGATTGTTCTACAGTACCCAATTTCGTGGTTATGATTTCTGACCAGTGCTGGCTATTCTGATGTGTAGACTGTGTCACATGGAAACAATAAAGATGCCACAGGAAGGGCTTTGAGGCTGGGGGAGCCATGTGGGAAAGACAGGACTCATCTGTAACAAGTACCTCTAAATTGCCTTTGATATATTTTTTAAAATCTTTTTTCCACATACAGTGGGCTGTACTGTGACTGTGTCTCAGGATTTCGATTTTTGTTGCTTGATAACTCGATTAATTTGATGGCAAGAGGCAACACATACCTGTAGCACGTACCTGTTATACAGCATGAATGCCGTAAACAATTTTTCTATCCATTCTTCTTCTAGGCAGATAGAATGTTGTGAAACAGCAGATGAATTCTATAGCACCATGGGGCGCCTTACCCAGGAGATGCTAGAGAATGATCTTCTGCAAAGCCATGAGCTCATGCAGGTGAGTTGGTTCTGGGATCTCCAGGTACCATGGGAACAACCAATGCTGAGCAATGTTCTTGGGAAATGTGTTTGGACAGCCCTCAAACTCAGTTTTTCAAATCAACTAAGAGTCTATAATTTAATAAGAATCTATGTCAGGCTGGGTGTGGTGGCTCACGCCTGTAATCCTAGCACTCTGGGAGGCCGAGGCGGGTGGATCGCTCAAGGTCAGGAGTTCGAGACCAGCCTGAGCAAGAGCGAGACCCCGTCTCTACTAAAAATAGAAAGAAATTAATCGGACAACTAAAAATATATAGGAAAAATTAGCCGGGCATGGTGGCACATGCCTGTAGTCCCAGCTACTCGGGAGGCTGAGGCAGGATTGCTTGAGCCCAGGAGTTTGAGGTTGCTGTGAGCTAGGCTGACGCCACGGCACTCACTCTAGCCCGGGCAATAGAGTGAGACTCTGTCTCAAAAAAAAAAAAAAAAAAGAATCTATGTCATAAGAGGAAGGAAGAAATGAATGATAGATATTTGTGGTAGCTTTCATTCCAACTATTTTGCTTAAAAATCATAAGGTACAATGTAAAAATAAACTGAAAAACAATCCTCAAAATCACCAGGTGCTTTTTCTGATTCTTGTTCTTAGCCTTCTTAATGGGAGACCTGTGGGTTAAAATATTATTTTGGGGAGGGTATGATTGAGGATAAAAAAAGAGATTATTTTGATCAGCATTTTGTTTTTTTTTGTTTTGCCCACATTTGAACTCAGGTCATTATATATTAATCATAAAATTCAATATGAGAGACTCGAAGGGTTTGGTTGTTTTTTGGCATGTGACTGTATCTCAGTATCATATTCATCAAGTCATTAAAACTGACAGCGAGCATAGAAAAGATGGCTGATTTATTAACACTCTCTTTTCCATTAGGTTCTGTAACATAATTTTATCCTCATTCTCCTCCAGTGCTTTTGACTGCTTCTCTTCCTGCTGCTTCCTCTTGCCAGTGACTAACTGTGAGTCTTGTCCAAGGTTGTCGTTGGCCTTAGTTCCTTCTTTCTCTGTGATTTCTCTCTCCTTTTTCTTGATTTCGACTTTCACCTTTTCGTTGGTTCTGTGCCTGAGGTCTTTTTTGGGTAATGGGGCCCAGTCAACTGACTACAAAACTAAGACTCAGGTACTGATTTAGGACTTGAGAAGTGAGACACTTCCATTCCTTTGCTCATTCCTGGAACCCCCAGCTCCTTCTCAGCAGACAGCTATCTGATGTATTGAGAGTATTGACCACCCGATATAACTTCCCTGAACATTCATGTTTTTATTGCATTCTCATCTTCTCTCTTCCTTCCTGTCCATCTCAGAGGAAGAAGTGTTCTATCTGACTCCAACATCTGTGCTCTGATTCCAGCTCTTCTCTCGTATCTCGGGCCATTGCCTCATTGCTCATTCTCTCTCAGAGGGAAGCACCTTTTGTTGAGTATCATTCTGTGTCCCAGGTCCATGCTTGGCATTTTCCATGTGTGAGATCCTTTGTATCCTACAGAACTGCCAGATTCATATGCCCAAAGCAGGACTCTGTGCTATTATCCCTTCTCTCTCATGCATGAAACTTCAACTGCTCCTCACTGCCCACAAAGCAAAGCACGGACTTCTCAGCTTCTCATCCAGTGCTCTTGACTCCTTAGCATTAACCCATCTTTTCAGCCGTAGTTCCTGTTCCTTGTGTACTCTGGCCCTGTGCTTGTCAAGTCAGGCTGTCTTTCATGCTTGAAGAAATGCCTGGGAATATGCCTCTGCCACACCTTTGCTGTCTCTGCTCAGTCCTCCTTCTCTACCTTCACATCTTTAAGTCCTTCTTCCTTTTGAAAGTTTCAATTCAGATGCCATCTCTTTTATGAAGCATTGTCTGATAGTCTCTACTAAACCCATCTATTTCTTTGAGTCACCATAGCACGTTTCATTTGTACCTCTCTTCTGAGGTTTCGTCATATCCTACCTTGATTTAAGATGTTATGTCCTTAGTAATATTGTAGGTTCCTTGAGGACAGGGACTGCACTCAGCACTATGTCTTTTACTAGAGTTGCTCAGTACATTTATTATTTCATAAATCAAATGCTTACTGAGACTCTGCTGTCTCCATAGCACCTGCCAAATGCTAAGAATACAACTGATTGCTCATGGATACACAGAATCATAGAACATAAGACAACTACTTTGGTTGTCCAGCTAATTTCTTTCTATTTTTAGTAGAGATATGGGGTCTTGCTCTTGCTGAGGCTGGTCTTGGACTCCTGACCTCAAACTATCCTCCTGCCTCAGCCTCCCAGAGTGCTAGGATTACAAGTGTAAGCCACTGCACTCGACCTAAAATCCTCTTTAGAAGTATAAGGCAACATCTCATTTCACTTAAAGTTTAAACATTGCCAGCAGGTGTGAGAGAGATGTTGGATACCATCTTTGTCCTCTAGGAGTTTCCAATCTTAGGTATTAGGAGAAAGAACCACTTCTTTACTCTGCTTTAAGAGAATTCTAGAGGGAGAGTTGTAGGCTGTGGGTTGATTGATGAGATTCCATTTTAGTAGCATTTCTTCTGTCAAAGAAAACATCTGCATGAAGATGAACTAAGCCTAAATTTTGTACAATTTATGTTTTCAAGGTTCTTGTAAAGCATGTCAATAATGAAAAAGGGAATATAATTCCTTTACAGCAGTGCCTAAGTATAAATGCCAATTTAAGTGTATGTTAGTAGTTCAGATAGTAAATAGACTTGGTTTTCCTTGACATCATAAAATGTTAAGGACAGAAATGGTGAATGTCATTTCAAGCCACTCCCTTTTCTGTATTCACTTAAAAAAAAAAAATTCAGTAGCTATACTCTGGCTGTGGTTGGCCATAAATCTGTCAGTGCATCCGAAATGGGTCCAGATGCAAATGTGGGCTGAATGTAAGGTCTTTATTTTTGAGCTGAAGAGGTGAAAGGATTCTCCCCTTTTGGCCTTTCTCATTTCTTCCAGTCCTAAGTGCCTTACTCAAAATAATGTGCTGTGTGTTCCCACTTGTAGATCACATCACTCTTTCCTTATTAGCAATGGTCATTTTTATGTTTGTTTGGGGTTTTTAAAATCAATAGTGTTAAAGAAATTGGGAGAATGCTGATGAAATAGTGTATCTGGATTTCAGCAGGACTTTTGACAGAGGCTCTTATAAATTCCTTGAGGGCAATATAGAGAAAAGTTAGATGCTGTTATTAGAAGGCTTTGTAGGTCCTTGGAAAACTTAACCCAAAGCATTCGTTAATGATTTATTGTTATCTGGAGGGAGCTCTTGTGTACCAGGAGGCAGGATCTCCCCTTGGACCTACTCTGTTCACTTTTTTCCATCAGTGATGGAGTGGAAATTATAATACAAGGGCGTGGATGCTTGTTCAATAGAAGGATAATGTTTGCTTGATGTTCTGTCCAAAATTGAAACTGTCTGCCCTGCAAAATAGTGTGTGCCTGTAACTGGAGGCGTTTAAGCAGCACCTCTGTGGCCATCTGTTGGAGATGCTCTAGAAGGGGTCCTGCTTGGGAGGGAGGTTGAACCAAATTATGTTCAAATTCCTTTCTAACCCTATGATTCTGTTACTGTACCATATTTTGGTTCTGAAATGATTAGTAAAATCTCTTCCTTGGAATCTGTTTAAATCTCCGATTTATAAAGTTGGAAACCTAAAGGTTTTGGGGTACTCAGAGTGCTATGTGGGTGTGCCAGGGATATTTACGCCTCTGCGATCAACATGCCTTCAGACATGTGAGACCTTCAAATAAGTGAGTGAATATTTGAGAAGAAGTACTAGAAACAAGTTTGTTTCAGGAACATCGATTTCTTCTTTGGAGGACTAACTAAAAGTGAGAGAAAGGAAGACCTGAAATAGAAAATGAAAGCTCAGTGGAGCCAGTTTTCCTTTCGGTCAAACATGTTCAGCTGAGTGTCCCTGAAGGAGCTTGCTCAGAGCCCAGACCTTCTGCCCTGGGGCAGGGGCTGGATGGAGGGAGGGAGGTTGTACTTCCATTCCTTTCTTATAAACTTCCTTCCCAAGGTTGAACAAGGGAATTTGCTGATGTCTTGTTACAAAACTGGCAAAAAATAAAACACAGGTGAATCTTCAGTGAGTCACCCCACTTAATGTCTTCAGTAAGACATCTTATGTCACTTGTAAGGAATTTTGAAATTCCTAGCATTTAATAATCTCATCTTTTAAAGTTGAATCCAAATGATATGGGTTTCTTACATGTCTAAACCAAGTTTCTAAATTGTTAAGGAAAAACTTCACATGAGTGAGGGACAGGTTGACTCTTGGCCCAACTGTGGGATCGTGTTTGGGGTGTGGTGGTCAGATACAGTCGACCAATGCTATTTCTCCTGAGCCTGAACAGAAGTGCCACACTCTAAAGTTAGGGTGCTGAGGAGAGGATGTCACACCTCTCGCCTTCCCTCAGAAGGGTGTTGGAGCTGAGACATTAGGGCAAGGAGGAATTCTGCAGTGGCAGTGAGGCAGCTGTTAGATACCTTTGTGGGATCAAAGAACATGAGCGCTCATTCTGAGTGCATTATTAATAAATTTATAGGAAATATTTCAGTTATACAGAATGTATTAAGAATAATATAACAAAACCTACCTACCCATCACCCAACTTAAGCAGTAAAAATTAACAACACAGGTGAATACCCTCATAGACTTCTCCCTGGTCTTACTACCTTCTCTCCTCTTAGAGGTAACCTGAATTTCACATCCTTCCTTTTGCAGGTGAGGAAAAGGTTGGGAACTGGTATAATCTCACACTTCAGGCTAATGGGAGCCAGAGGATTCCTTCTGCTTCTTTTCTTTTTTTTTTTTATTTCAGCATATTATGGGGGTACAGATGTTTAGGTTATATATATTGCCCTTGCCTCCCTCCTCCCCCCCAGGTCCAAGATTCAAGCATGTCCATCCCTTGGATGGTCTTCTGCTTCTTTTCTGAGGGCACAGTTTACTGTTAGTAAATTTGTATGGCTTCTCCATCTTTTGGGTATAGTCAAGTATGTAGCATATGTGATAAGACAGCTCAGGATGTTTGTGGTCCCTATAAGCTGTGTAGCTTTGCACAGTCAACATGGAGAATTGAACCTTGTTTGGAATCTTGGGCTAATACAGTAAAGTATAAACGAATACCATGAAGTTGGGGACAGTCAGATGTGCAGGCTGTTAGAATCGAAACTGTGGGGACCATTACAGTGGTGCTCTGAGCTATAAAATGAAACAGCAGCACAATAAGCTCCTTTCAGAGCCTTCCTTTTCCTACATGCAAATATTAGACATCTCCTAAGCCTCCAGAAAAATAGTCCTGCTGAAATGAAAAATACCACTTTAAAATATTTTTATAGACAAACATCATCAGGATATTTGATTGGCTTCCTGGGAGAAATGAAAGTGTGATTAATATACATTTTCTGGTAAATAAGAACCTGAAGGATTGAAGGAATGTGTTTGGAGCCATTAAGTTTTGATAAAAATAAGAGAGCAAACAAGATTACTTCCCTCTTGCTGATAGAATGATATATAATTTTAAAATTCTGGCGGAAGTACAGGTGCTTTTCTCCATTTTTATTTATAGATTTTTAACATCCTGTGCTTTACACCCTGTCACTTTTTTTCTTGTTTTTTTTTCCTCTTTAAAAATAACAGCTAACAATTTTCACCTAGAACCCATTCACAGACATTTGAAAAGGTGGTATCTTTGGAGAAAACTTGCCTTTGATCACAAGATCATCCACTAGGCTTAATTTTATCCAGAAGGCTGACATTAAATGTGTATAAAAATAATCAAACAAAGCTTTGAAAAGTAGTCACTACATATGAAGAACATTTATGGGTGCTCTGTCACAGAAATGAGAGGGATCTGTGGACTTCCGAGTTAGCCTGTCTGTGAAACGACAGGAGGAAGTCAGACACCTCCACGTGCCCACCTGCGTTCACCAGTTGGAATGCCTGGTGCAGCTGGGTTGATCTGAGAACGCACTGTTGGGTTTATCAGCATTCTTTTGTCTTCCTCTAAAGCAGATGTTGAAGTGGAATCTTTCCCACCTGCCATGTAAGAAGCAGTATCTGCTTCTCCACACTCAACTTCTTAAAACTTTCATGACTCCCCAGTATTGGTAAGAGTTGTTTAAGGTTACTGTTTCAGACTTGGCATTTTCACTTTTGTTTTTCAGACCGTTTATTCTATGGCACCATTCCCTTTCCCACAATTGGCAGAGTTGAGGGAAAAATATACCTACAACATTACACCATTCCCAGCCACGGTTAAATCCACCTCAGTTTCTGGGTAAGGTTTTTTTTTTTTTTTTTTCCTTTTTTCCTTTGTTGTTTTCATGATGGGAGACTTCAATACCTTAATTTGTTATTATAAATTAATATTTATGAAGCCCCTGAAATATGTTCAAAGTAATTTGGTACTTAAAATCTGAATGTCTCTTTTCCAAAGGTTTTGATTTAAATTCAAGAGAGACTTTTGAGTGTACTTTCCAAAGAAGTTGGGAGCATAAATTGAATGGATATTTAGCAACCCCATAACTTATTTAAAGATATCAAATATTAAAAATCTAAATAGTTAAAAGTGTGGAACTGGTGCACACATAGACAAATGGGCTGATTTAAAATACAGTAAAGACCAGAAATTGACAGGAAATGTACAGGAATTTAGTATGTGAAAAATTAGCGTATCAAATCAATGGTGAAAAGATATACCATTTAGTAAATGGTGATGAGCCAGTGAGGAAGGAAGGAAGGAAGAGAGAGAGAGGAGAGGAGAGGAGAGGAAAGGAAGAGTTACACCTCATCCCATATATCAGGATAAATTCCATGTGGGTAAAAGTATTAAATAGAAAAAATAGGCTGGGCGTGGTGGCTCACGCCTGTAATCCTAGCACTCTGGAAGGCCGAGGCGGGAGGATCACTTGAGCTCAGGAGTTCAAGACGAGTGGGGGCAAGATCAAGACCAAGACCCTGTCTCTACTAAAAATAAAAAATTAGCTGGGTGTGGTGGCATGTGCCTGTAGTCCCAGCTACTTGGGAGGCTGAGGCAAGAGGATTGCTTGAGCCCAGGAGTCTGAGGTCTGCTATGAGCTAGGCTGACACCATTGCATTGTAGCCCGGGCAACAGAGGGAGACTCTGTCTCAAAAAGAAAGAAAAAACAAAATAATAAAATTAGCAGAAGAAAATGTGGAAGAATTTCTTTAGTTCTTTGGGATTGGGAAGGCCTTAATAACTTGCTCAAAATAAAAAAAACAATAAAGGAAAAAATTAAATCTAGGTATCTTAAAAATAATTTTCTGTATGACCAAAACAGAACAAAACCAAACCTCCATAAGCAGACTTAAAAATTCTAGTGGGAGAATATTTTTAACATACCACACAAAATAGGGATTGATATCTCTAATATATAAAGTTACTAGAAATCAATAAGAAAATCACCACCCAGTTGAAAAATGATGAAATGATGGTAACAGGCAGTTTACATAAAAGGAAACATCATCGGTACTAAGAGAAATGCTGCTTAGAACTAGAAATTGAGATTTTGTTTTTTTTACTTGTTGGATTGGCAAAAATTCAAAAGCTTAATGATACACTCTGTTGATCAGGTTATAGGGAAACAGACACTCTTATATATTGCTGGCGAGAGGTTAATTGCTACAAGATTTGTGGCTGACCATTTGGCAAGTTTGCCAAAATTACTAATGCGTAAATCATTTGACTCAGCAATTCTGTCTTTATAAATTATCCTACAGGTAATATTTGTAGACATGCAAAACACAGTATGTATAAGGTTATTTATTGCAGTATTATTTATAATCGTATAATACTGGAGAGCACTCAAGTGTGCACCATTAGCAACCTGGTTCCATAACATGGGCCATGTACATACAATACAGCTGGAAGAAAGGATAAGGAAGCTCCATGTATGAATATGGAAAGGTTTCTTATATGAATAAAAGCAAGGTGCAGAAGAGTATAGATAGTATGCCAATATTTATGCAAAAAGAAGAAATAAAACTATATTGTTTATTTGCTTATCTATACATAGAGAAACTGAAGAATATATTAGAAACTAGTAACTATGGCCACCTGTGGGAAGCAGGTGGGGCAAGAGCTGGGCAGAAGTTGGACAGAGATGGGAGGGAGACTTTTTGTAAAGTAATTATATATAGGTATGGCATTTAAGCCATGCAACTGAATTATTTTAAAAAATATCACTATTTTCTTTGAACATTTCTTTTTTTTTTTTTATGTTTTCCAAGACGACATGGTAAGATCAGAGACAGTGATGAAGAGAATGACCTGGATGATGAAGATGCTATTGTTAATGCAGTGGGGTGTCTTGGACCTTTCAGTGGGCTCCTGGCACCTGAACTGCAGAAGTACCAAAAGCAAATTAAAGGTAAAGAGGCAGCTCTTAATTTAGGTTATCACGATGTGTTGGTTTACTATGTAACAATGGTGTTGTTATTGTATCCTATAGATGCCTCAGCAATTTCCTGAACTCATGATCACTATTAAAAGTCTTTATAAAAATATCTTCTGTTACTTTATCATATAACAGGATCTTTCTGTATTATATGTTGCATGCATAAATAGACATTTCTTTTTTCTGAGATAGGGTCTTGCTGTGTTGCCCAGGCTGGAGTGCAGTGGCCCAATCATAACTCACTGTAACCTCTAACTACTGGGCTCAAGTAATCCTCCTGCTTCAGCCTCCCCTGTAGCCTACTATAGATATCCACCACAATACCCAGATGATTTTTAAAAAAATTTTTGTAGAGATGGCGTTTTGCTGTTTTGCCCAGGCTGTTGTTGAACTCCTGGGCTCAAGCGATCCTCCCGCCTTGGCCTCCCAGAGTGCTGGGGTTACAGGCATGGGCCACCATGCCCAGCCATTTTTTCTGTACAGAGACTTTTGCTTCTCATTTATCTGATTCAACTTTATATGCTCAGTTCCTTAACATAGAGCCTGGCATATAGTAGATGCTTAAAATATTCTGAGTTTAATTGAATTCATTCCAGACTGGCTTCTCTTCCAACAGAATTACCCTTTAAATCCAAAATGTTATGGTAGCTTCTACTTGAATTTCTTGAATGACAAGGAACTCCTTATTTCACAAGATACTTTGCTAGATTCTCAATTCTAGTTGCAAAGAGATAACCTCCACCAACCAGTTCTAATGGTTCTTCCCTTTGGAACAAAAGAGAACAAGTCTATTCCCTCTTCTACCTGTCAGCTCTTCAAATCTTTCAGGATAACTATCATATCTCCCAAAGCTTTCTTGAAGGCCCAAGTTCAGAACTTCTCTAAGCATTTCTCTTGAGATATGACTTCTAGACCTTTTAATATTCTATTAATTTACCTCTAGATACCCTATAATTTGGTAATAGTCCTCTTAAAATGTGGTGCTCTGAATCAAATGCCATTTTTTGTGTTGTTTTTTTTCCTGCATAGAGTAGACTTCCTGGGGTCAAGAAATCATCAATACTATGAGCTCTTTTGAAACGGTTTGTGGTTCTCCCACGATGTCGTTTCCCACCTTTGGTGGCAGCTCTTCCTTTATTCTGCCTCTTCTAGTTTAGAACTGATGTGGGAACCAGCTAAAAAAGGTTGAGAGATTCCAGCTATCCTAACATCTGATGAGAGTGTTATTCTCATCACTGTCAGTTCTCCTTGTTCAAAGAGGATAGAAACTTACCGAAAAGACAGGAACAGAGCAAATGTGAGGCCCTCTGCGTTCTGTTTGCCATCTGCCAACTTTGTTCTGCCTTCTTCAAATCGGGGGGCTGTCTTCTCGGGTTTTGGTTGTTGTTCTTGTGTAGAAGGTGGCAGTGGTGGCAGCTGCTGCTCTTTTTTTTTTAAAATTTTGATTGTTTTGACTATTTTCTCCAAGTCTCAGCTTGTTTTGAGTTTTAACCTGTTTAATGGCTGGGTTCACACTGCTTTGTGTGTATGTCCTTGGTGTGTGCTCTTCTCTCATCTTTTAAAATGGCTTTTACAAATCTGAACCCAGTGAGGGTCTTCTTGATTTCTGAATTGCCCTCCACCCCTTTTTTGTTGCCTGAATTTCAGCTTTTCCCTTCTAGCCTTGGGATCAATATGTATTTTAATGCTCAAGTTTTTGAATCTGCATTCCTGTAGTCTGGATATATGTTCCAGTTTTTCCTCTATTTTTTTTTTTTTTTGTGCAGTTATGTGCTCTAGAATGAAATGATCACTGTCTCCTAAATTTCATCATCATTAGTCTTTTTTGTTGATTTTGTTCTGATTAGCAGTTTCCCTTCTAATTTTCTTCTCCTCAGAGAAGTGATTTCAGTAAAAAAAAAATGAAGTAAATTTATGAGATGTTCAGCATTTGAATAACACGCTCATCAGATGTTAGGATAGTTGGAGTCTCTCAACCTGTTTTTAGCTGGTTCTCACCTCAGTTTTACATGTGCTAGCCCAGCCTAGTTCTCTCCCGCTTTGGCCTATGCAGTCTGTGGGTATACTCCCACCGTGGTAACTTTCTCTTTCTTGGATGTAATCTCAATTTTATTTAAGAGACAAATCTGCCAGTTGTAGGTATCACAGGAACAGAAACCACGTCCAACATAACAAGACAGTAGACAGGAAATGTTTGTTAAATGGAAAAAAACCATTCATTTCTAGTGATACAGTGGTCTGAAGTCTTGCTAATTTTGTAAAATGTGTTACTATTTTTAACTTAAAAAAAACTTTTAATGACAGTCTAAATTCTACAAACTATCAGTCCCTTATAAATCCTCATGCAGTTGTGTGGATATCTGTACGATGATTTTAGATCTCTGGAGTTACATTTTTCTAAGGGACTCTTAGAAAATGGTAGTGATTTTTATCCAGAGGCAGTTGAACTTATGTCTGTATAATGAATAAACTGGTAACAAAATCAAACAATGAACCCACACAGCTCATTTCTGACCCACACTTAGGTTAAAAAGAAAATGCAGAAATATTTTCAGGAGCAAATCAAAACAAGCACTAGACAAATTCTAGTGTACATTTTTTTTTTGTGGTTTAGAATTTCATGGGGGTTAAGATACTACACTAGGTTGTAGTGTAATCAGTTCCCATTTAATCCTGTTCCCCTCCACCCATCATCTGCCTGTGTCTCTTCCCTGGGCTGCAGAGCCAAATGAGGAGCAGAGTCTGAGATCTAATAACATTGCAGAGCTGAGCCCAGGAGCAATCAATTCCTGTCGAAGCGAGTACCATGCAGCTTTTAACAGCATGATGATGGAACGCATGACCACAGATATCAATGCACTGAAGCGGCAGTACTCTCGAATTAAAAAGAAGCAACAGCAGCAGGTTCATCAGGTGTACATCAGGGCAGGTAATGTGCTTCTTTGTTTGAATCAATTTCAACTCTTCAACTCTGTCACTACTTGTGAAATGAAGAACAAATGGTCCTAGAGGGTCTTGGAGTTACTAACTGTAGTTCAGCATCCATAAACACAGCTGGCATGAGATAATAGCATATTTAGCATCTCATTTTTTATTTTATTTTATCAGGCCCTAAAGAGGAAAAAGAGCAGGCAGCTGATGGTATTAAACACTTCTCTACTATGTGTGCTTGTGGAGAGGGATTTACAAATGATTAGAATGTTGCAAAGCCACGCAATCCTTGGACTTGAGAAATTTTGGAGCTCTTGCCTCATAAATTTTGAGCATTTGAAAATAGAAGTTAGTCATTTGTGCACTAGTAAATTAAGCTATACACTAGTCATTTAGGTAGTGTTATAACAGATGCTGTGATCAGAGAAAATGGAAAACAACATTAAAAAGCCTGTGCCTTGCTGATGGGTTAGCCATATCTTGGGAGTGTACTATGAAGAACACAATCATAATGCAATTGGAAGCACTCTTTTCCAAGGATTGTCAGGCTTCTTCTTTCTTTTTTTTAATTCCCAAAATCTGAATGAACAATCTGCTTTATTATTTAATATATGCTGATTTGGGAGTTGTTTTTTCATGTTCTAAGTGAATACACTAATGAAAATGATTCCTGTCCAGAATTAACCGAGATATAAATTTGACATGTTTTTAAGTGGCTTGTGAGCATGTGACTGATCTTGCACAAAAACTGAATTTATTTAAGTCCTTCCACTTACCAGGGAGAAATAGGCAACTTCCAGAAGATTTTCACTTTATACTGAATCATTAAGAAAGCAATCACAAAAGAAACTATCACTTACAGCACTTTAATTTTCAAAAACATTGACGCATACCTTTCCTCATTTGTCCTTAAAGCAAATCTATGAGGAAGTCAAGGACAGTTAGTCTTATCTTCTTTTGAATGGTGAAGAAATGGTGACTCAGGAAGGCTTAGCAATTGTCCAGGGTTACATAGCTATAGTGAGTGGTCAATCCGGGGCCACAACCCACATTCTTTGTATATAGTGTTTTTCAACTACACTATACGAGTCTTTGGGATGATGAACAATCACCACTGCATATTAACTCAGTCCCGAGGCTTATACTCTCCACTCAGGGGTCAGAAAACTGTGGTCTGCCAGCCAAATCCTGCCCACTGTGTTTTTGTAAATAAAGTTTTATTGAAACACAGGTATACCAATTTGTTTACAAGTCATCTAAGGCTGCTTTCACACTACAGTGGCTAAAATATTTACAATTCTGTCCTTTACAGGAAAAGTTTGCTGACCCCTGTTCTAGATCATGGTTTATGTGGTTCTGTTTGAGGGAGAGATGGTTGCTCAAAGGCAAAGTTCTAGAGCATTGGTTCTCAAACTTTAGTGTGCATATAAATCACTTGGGGATCTGCTAAAATAGAGAATCTGTCTCAGGAGGTTTGGAGGGAGGCTGAGATTATGCATTTCTAACAATGTGCTGCTAGTGCTACCATGTAGGGACCACACTTTGAGTGGCAAGCTTTTAGAGGAGAGGGTATAGGGTAGGATTAACTGCACAGGTGGAGAGATTGAACTTGAACAAAAGACCTGAGCTTCTGAGACTTAATAGAAGGTGGTGAGGATAGTGGTTAAGGGTACCAGCTTCCCAGGTTACGGAAGATGGGAAGTAGAGGTCTTTCAGACCTGAGAGCTTCTGTTTTCATAGAGAAATTGGGGAAAGTTATTAGTTGGGAGTAAGCTGGGAGTTGGGAATAAATGGGAACTTAAAGTAATGAAGATTTGCGTTGAAAGGAAACGAAAAGGAAAAGATTGTTTGGTGGCATTGAAGACTTAACAAAATAGGAAGTCATGAATTTTAAGGGCTCGGTTTCAAAAACAAGAATGTGGATTGTGGACCACAGCTGGGGCTTTGCTAGTAATGTGCGACAAAGGGATAGGGCTACCTGGAGCATGTGGTTATTGGTGAGGCGGTGCTCCAGGCGGTCAGCCAGGCACCTGGCAGGGTCGGGATGGAAGGAAGCTGACGATAGACAAGGGGTTATGAGAAGGAACCAGAAGTGTCTGTGGTTCAGTGTGGGCATAGTTAGATTGAGAGCCTGGGAGCTAGAAGAGTCAAAAAGGAATATTAGAGTTAAATATTTTTCATATAAGGTAGAGACAGGTGATAAGGTTTAGGATGGAAGTGGAGAGGTTGAGGAACCATGAGAACAGGTAATGGCCAGGCCAGTCACAGTGACAGGAAATAACCCAGGGAGGTGCTAGGACGTGGGGCGAAGAGGAGACAGTTGTCAGAGTTATCAGTCAATATTGGAGTGTGACCAGATGTAAATGACAATGGTAGAGAAGGGTGGGAGGAAGTTCAGCCAGATGACCTGGGCATCAAGGAGGAATGAAGTTCACACAAAGACGGAGAGGCCTTCTCCCTATGACTTCTGGCTGTTGCCGTCATCCCTGGGACCGAGCGTGTTGAATGTGGCATTGGAGATCGGGGCATGGTCATACCTGCAGAAGGAGGACTATAAAACTACAACAGTACCCTCTAAGAGAACAAAGCTTTTAGTGCTTTCTACTTTTCAGTTGGCTTTCCAAGTCCATCGAGGACCCCAGAGTGGTTTTTCATACCTAGAGCCAGACGCTGGATAGCTGTAATTTCACTCCCTTCTCATCACTTCTCTCGTTCTGCTGTCTCTCTAACATGCAGTGTGTTCTTTTCCTACCTCTCTGAAGCCGACAGGTGATAATCCATATGGTCATAGTGTTTGTCATATGATCTTAAAAATCTTCAAAGATTTTCTAGATGTAAGACCTCTGGGGTTGCTGCTCAGAGACAAAAGCTGTCTGCAAAAAAACATTAGGGAGTCCAGGCTGTAATTAGTAACGAAGGGTCGGAGACCTGGTTCCATTTTGTGTGCTCAGCCTGCTCTCCTCTTTGAAGAGGAGAGAACTGGTACCCCAGGCTCTAGGGCTGAATTCAGTTTCTGTTGTCTTCAGTCACATGATTCTGCCAAGCCCTGGGAAATACATGGGAAAGGACATGGGGTGGTGGTGGATGGGGGGACCGCCACGTGATTTCTGATCTGTGAGGGATGCATTCCTCTGTGGTACATTTCACACTACCTTTCAACATTTCTTTCAGACAAAGGGCCAGTGACCAGCATTCTCCCGTCTCAGGTAAACAATTCTCCAGTTATAAACCACCTTCTTTTAGGAAAGAAGATGAAAATGACAAACAGAGCTGCCAAGAATGCTGTCATCCACATCCCTGGTCACACAGGAGGCAAAATATCTCCTGTCCCCTATGAAGACCTTAAGACGAAGCTCAACTCTCCTTGGCGAACTCATATCCGAGTCCACAAAAAGAACATGCCAAGGACCAAGAGTCATCTGGGCTGTGGGGACACAATAGGGCTGATAGAAGAGCAGAATGAGGCCTGCAAGACCAACAACCTGGGGGCGGCAGAGGCGCTTTCCTCTAGTTGTGCAGCGACAGCGCAAAGAGAAGGCAGCGGCTCCGAGGGCAGCCCTGGCAGGACCATCGAGGGGCAGTCTCCAGAGCCGGTGTTCGGAGATGCTGACGTGGACGTGTCTGCAGTCCAGGCGAAGTTGGAGGCCTTGGAACTGAACCAGAGGGCTGCTGCTACTGAAATGGAGCCCAAGGCACACCCACCCCGCCAGCAGCACTTCCCAGAGCCACCTGATGCACCCGGAGAAAACAAAGCCACCAGCAAAGCTCCCCAAGGCAGCAACTCAAAAACCATCTTTAGCCCTTTTCCCAGTGTCAAGCCACTGCGGAAGTCAGCCACCGCCAGGAATTTGGGATTATATGGACCTACAGAAAGAACCCCCACCATGCACTTTCCTCAGATGAGCCGGAGCTTCAGCAAATCCGGCGGTGGGAACAGTGGCACTAAGAAACGATGATGTCCCCCAGAAACTTTGTATCTGGACTCACCTTTTCCTGATGGCATAAGGGTTCCTGCTGAATGGCTCCAAAAGAGTTTTATTTGTCCAATAGATAGGTTCAGAGATGAGCAACGGTGTATAAAGTGGGAGATGGAAGTTTTAAAATGGGAGTTAGGGAAATTTTCCCATCCACTTGATAACTGATGAAGTGGATTCTTGTGCAAAAGAAATATTGTGGTTTTAAAGTGTAAAGTTTTCCCAAGTTTTCATTGTGAGCTATTTAGAAAAGGATGTAAACCTAGACTGTTAACTTTCCTTCTTCCATCCTCCTGAGGGCCTTCAGGGTCCCTGTGACAACACCCCCCAAACCTTCCAGTTCTCTGAGTGTTATTCTACTAATATTCAAGCATGCACATACCAGCCTGCTAGAACAGAAACTGTAAAAAGAAAGTTTCTTGGTTGCAAAAAACTTCCTGATGTTCCTCTTCGTGCTCTGTTGGAGGGATTGTTTGTATGTGTGAGTTTTTCCTCAGTGCCGGTTTCAAAATTGTTTTTTTTTACTTATGCTCAAGTGTAGGAGAAAAATCTAGATAGCCTTTCTTTAACTTTCTACCTGCGAAATGGAGAAAACCTTTAATCTGTTGAAATTTAGGTTGATAACCAGCTCGAAGATCTTATGCAGAGAATACACATAGGATATGCTTTAAGCAGTTGCTCTGAACAGCTCGTTCATGCCACTAAGCTTTCCCGAGGTTCATTTTCTCCTCTCGAGGAGAGCTGTGGTCCTCAGTGGTACAGATGACTCGGTGGGCTGCCCATGGCGCTCGACCTGCATCCTCCGCCACGCCACGCAGCTCACTCACCCACCAGCTCTCCACTGTAGATGCACAAGGCCTCCGCTCAGAAGCCAGAACATAGCACCTGTGACTCTGTTACTTGAATTTTGTGCTTTTTTGATTGGAGTCCTTTGTTGAGTACTTTGTTACTTGAACACTGCCTTTCTCCAGAGACGGCCCCAGTGCTTTCTAGCTTTCTCTCACCCACTCCTGCCTGGGCCCAGCGGGTAGGAGAGAGCACCTCTTGTCTCCACTATGCAGATGGGAACTCTGAGCCACGCAGAGGTGAAGTAGCACTTCAGTTACTCAAGGTAAATCCTCCTGGTATTCCATGTGACTTAGCCACATTTCCCCCAGTGCAATAGGTGGGTGTAATGCTCTTTGTACACAGGTGCATTGGCTACACAGGTGTCAAAACCAAGACTGGGAAGCCATTCACTATACTCCCTTCTGACTCAAAGGACCTTTCTCCAGATGGTACAGAGTCCTGTGATGGCATTTCACAGAACCAGCTCTGACTTCCTTATCCTGAAAAGGGATTTTAAAATGCTTCATGCACCTGCCATTTGGCTAAACAAAAGGCTCCCTCCTTAGTCTCCTACTCCCCACCATCATTAGCAGAATAGACTTAGCATCTTTATCTTCATCTTCATCTCTGGAAGACGTCTGGTGATGCTTGCAGGAGTATTGTTGATGAAGTCAATATTAATTTGAGCTAATTGGGTTGCTAATTCTGAAACCAAAGCTATAATTTGGGAGAGGGCTTTTACTATGAGAGATACTAATTTTTATAATAAGGTGGAGAATGTGGTTGTGTGGGCTTTTTTGAACAAAACATAAGAATGTCATATTCAGTGAGAAAAGCTATTTTATCCCCTTTGTGGTATTTTTACCCCCAAAGGAACTGAAGATGGAAAATATGACTAATAAGTTACTGCAGTTTTGGTCTTGAATTCTGTACCATCTGAAGTTAGCATGCAGCTTCTTAAAAAGCAGCCACGCCCACGGCCTATTTCTTGGGAAGGGTGTGGGTGGGGAGTTGGGCTTACTTTACATACCACCCCCAGGAAACCCACTGCATTTTCCAAAGTGAAGCAAATGACACGAGTCCCTTCCTTCTGCTAAACTTTACAGATAAGAATGATTCCACCTCATATTCTTCTCCCCCTTCCCAAATGAGTCAGAATGGCTATGTCTGACTTGACATCCCTCAAGGAGAACATGAGAACTGTTCTTTCCTCTCTTGAATCAGCTCACTAGCTCCCTGCTGGTTGAGGTTCAGGGAGACAGGTAATGAGGTGGAGGCCAGTTTCCACCGAGTCCTTGGGGTCGCACCATTGCCCTCTACCAGCTGTCTTAGTGTTAACAGCACACGTTGTGCCCTGCGAACTCTCTCTTCTCACCCATTTCCTGGGGTTGGTCTTCCTGAGAAGGAGATGGATAAAATGGCTCACGGTTTGGGATAAGTATTTGTCGAAAGAATGAATGAATAACTCACTGAAGGGATGATAGTCCTTTGAGATAAAAATTACCTTGTCAGAATTTTAAAAATCCAACAGATTCCCGTTAAAGCACTCTTGTACCACTAACATGCATGCATTGTACCAAGTCATCACAGTGTGAGTTGGTCGATTTATGAGCCTTGCCTACTTTAGAAAATAAAGAATTCTGCAGTAGCCTCTACCACACAGCATGTACAAAGACCAGTACAGACTTGCTATCTTCCCTATGTATTGGACACTGTATGCAAACACCAGAAGTACTTAACAAGTAGCAGTTTCTTGATTCTTAGATATGTCTGTAGCCTCTTAGCACTTCGGCTGGGAGCTGACTCATTCCGATGCCTCCGCACCTCTGTCCTCTTACAAAAGCCTCCAGATAATCTAAACCTAGTTTGTAATGTTACCCTATAGGCTGTAACTGTTTGGAATATTGTATTCCTTTTTTTGTCTCTCTTGTTGTTCTGAAGAATTGTATCAATTACAAAGATGTATACATAAAGATTCTCTTTGTTGTAGCTGTCGTGCTGTTTTCTGAGTGCATGGGTGGAACACTGTTGCGACATTCCCTTCCCTTTTCTCTTCACCCCTCCCTCCCCAACTTGGTCACATGAACCAGGGAAACAGCCCAGTAAGCTCCTCTCCCCAATTCTAGTCACTGGGTTGCAGGGTGGCCTATGACCCACCTAGAACTTGCAGAATAGCCAGTTCCTAAATATGAGTAAGCAGAGTTTACTTAGTGTGTGTGTGTGTGTGTGTGTGTATAAAAAATTAAACTTTAGACCTATTTTCCCTTAATAAACTGGAACAATAAGAACACAATTAGCTCCATGGTGTTAAGGATTCTAGATGAATAGAGAGCTGTGATCAAGTGTGTAGTTGCTGCCATCTCCCCTTATAAAATCCCTCTTTATGTGGTTTCTGAGTCATTTTCTTTGCTGCCTACAGCAATCATTTGAGGCAGCATTTAAAATATATTATTTTTCCTATTTAGAAAAGTAACACGTTTTGGAAGATGTGGAAAACACAGAGCACAAGGAATCATCAATATTCTGGTATAGAACTTCCTAATACGTGTGTGTGTGTGTGTGTGTGCATGCACACACCATTATCTGCACAAAGGTATGTTGAACATACCTAGTTCTAACTAGTTCATGACTAGTTTAAGCTGCCCTCCCAGTAAATGCTCTTACACACCATTTTTAGTGAGTAGTATTCCATAACGTGTTCATGCCAAAATTTCACGTAACGGGTGCCTTGTCAAATAAGTGGTTTCTGATTGCAAATAGTAGTGGAGAGAGAATCCTGATACATCTTTGTACACAGCCTTAATTATTTTCTTAGGATATGTTCATAGAAGTGGAACTGCAGGGTCAGAAAATAGGTCCATTTTTAAGACATATGTATCCAAATTGTTATCCTTTAAGGTTGAACTACTTGCATAAGCAGAGAATGAGAATGCCTGATTCTCTGCACTCTGGAAGAGGTAGCAGTGTTTTTTTTACCCTTCCTAGGACCTCTAGTGTTGAAGAGTTGATGGCAGTGTTGAATAGAAGCAGTGATAATGGGCACTCACATCTCATCCCTGACTTTTAAGAAAAACCCTTAAGTAAGATATTTGCTGAGGTTTTTGTTGGGTACCTTTTCTTGGGTTAGGGAAATTACCTTTTTTTTTTTTTTTTTTTTTAAGACTGGGTCTGACTCTGTCCCCCAGGCTGGAGCGCAATGGGGCAATCATAGCTCACTGCAGCCTTGTACTCCTGGCTCAAGCAGTCTTCCCATCTCATCCTCCTGAGTAGCTGGGACTACAGGTGTGCGCCACCATGCCTGGCTAATCTTTTTCATATTTTTAGAGATGGGGTCTTGCTATGTTTCCCAGGCTAGCTTCCAACTACTGACCTCAAGTGAGACTCCAGAATCACTGAGATTACAGCTTTTATTCTTTTCTTGCTAAGAGGTTTTTTTTTTCCCCCATTAACAGGTATTGAATTTTATTAAATGAACTTTAATTGTGTCCTTTGAGAAGGGAGTAGTGCTTGGGACTTGGTGTCTTGAACTCAAGAAAATAGCCATTACCAGTTTTCATCAAAGAATATTAGATGTTTTAGAGTTGGAAGTGATGCAGTGAAAGTTTTATGTGCAAAACGTTCATTGAAGTATTAAATTTACTTATGGAAATCTGAAAACAACGTAAACATCTGAGAATAGGGGAAATGATTGGGTGAATCATGATTCATTCCCAGGATGGAACTTCAGTGGCCCATGAGCATGTAGGCCATTGAAGTGGGAGTTACCCATTGTCCACATCAGGCTGTCCAGATTAAAGTCAGCAAAGTCTGGAGTCACAGAGCTGCTGGGATACAGCCGCGTGGTTCTTCCGCAAAGGCAGCCTGTGCTCGCTCTAGTGGGGACTGAATGGGTGCTGGTACTGTAGGTGTTGGATCAGCTTCCGTGCAGTTCCCTGTGTCCATCTCCTGATGCTGAGTGTCTTAGTTCGGGCTGCTGTAGCAAAGTGCCATAGACTGGGTGGCTTAAACAACAGTCATTTCTTTCTCACAGTTCTGGAGGATAAGAAGTCCCAGGTCGAGGTGTCTGCAGATTGGGTGTCTGGTGAGGGAGGACCCACTTCCTGGTTTGCAGATGGCCACCTCCTTGCTGTGTCCTCACATGATGGAGACAGGGA